TTTATGTAAAGATTGGATATGTCACCCAGATCAGTATCAGTGTGTCACAGGTCAATGTATTCCAGTTGAATGGGTATGCAACCGGGTGTGGGATTGTAGTGATGCGTCCGACGAACAAGCGTTGTATTTGATCAAAACAGTGTCTCCACATAACGCGGGTTTACCAGTGAGTTTGAGAATTATGAAGGAAAAGTGTGCAAGATTGTATTTAGGAAAAGAACCATTTCTTGAAAATTGTAATAGCTCGACTGAATACGGATGTTTACTAGCCGATGTTGATCACGTAATAGTTACATCTCAGGAAACAATAACGTTCAACCAAACTGTTATATCTCTGGAAACATTAACGTTCAACAAAACTGTTACTGTTATATGGGTCGCTAAGCCTCGTCCATGTATACGACTGGAGCAAATAGGCGATGGACATATTGACTGCTATGGTGGATTAGATGAAAGAAATAGAATCGGCTGCTCGTCCAAAGGAATGCTAGGCTTTGATTTCAAATGTAATGATGAATGCATTGCATACAAGCAACAATGTCAAAGCCGTTGTCCTAACCGTGATGATAGTCAGCTGTGTGATAAAATCGTTGAATCGATTTTACCGCACAGACCAGCCCTGTATTTCACGCAAAGATGTAGTTATGTCAATTATTTTTGGCAGAGTTCTACGGAGCGCTATTATTGTGACCAAGACGATATGGAGGGATCATTGGCCTACAGACAAAAGGCATTAATGAAACGAATGAATCCTACACCATACCTGTTATCGTACTTAGTCGGACGACGGAATGCAACTGTTTCTAAGCAAGCTGTACCGGTACCAAACATGTTTAGCAACATGGAAGCGTATTTTAATAGAGAAATTGAAATGATTGCTCATTTCCTTACATTAAATGAAATACTTGAGTACGAAGGATACGTTAAACAGCATTCGGTAGAAGCTTGGATTTGCAACAGGGGTATAGCCGTCAAAAAACAATCATCGATTATTTGCTTCTGTCCTCCGAGTCTATATGGAGAATATTGCCAATATTTCAGCGATCGTATTTCAGTCATAACAAGTATAACAAATATGCCAGAGAAAGAGGCAGTAATCAAAATCCTAGCCACGTTTCTGCTGGAGGAAGATGTACTTGACCATGAAGAGTTTGCTGTTTTTAGAAACGATACAGACACAAAACATTTATTTTATTTTGTATATTCAAAACCGAAACAGCTCAGAGTGTGGTTACAAATGATGTTATGGGCTAGGAAGAGAGAAGGAGGGTAAAAAGAAAATAATGACATTACACACGAGAGATTTCTTTTAGGAGACAGCTGATTTTTTCGTAAGGCTGGGCATAGAAATATTAGGGAGTCATACTCTCTCGAGGCATTTTATGCTGGGTATATATATTGTTATTTTATTTGTCTCATACTTTAACATCTTTTTCTCTTTTACAGAATATTCCTTTTACCTACACAAAGGTGAGTGAAAGACAAAGGCATTGTATCACTGTACTGCCAGAAGTAAATTGTCCATAAAACCCGTACCCTTGAAAGAATTTTCAAACATTTGTTTTATTTTAGTTCTCAAGAGTGGTATATTTACTTCTGGAAAAAAACCTGAGTCCATATCATATGTGCTGAAATATGGCTCAGACATTGTGAAAAATGCATGTTTCTTGGCTGATGAAACAAAAAGTCTTTTTCTCCGACGCGTACGTGTTTACTTTTTTTCTTTCTGATCAACACAAAATCGAACTTTATTCATATACATGTTCAACTGTATCATTCATCTATTTTTTTCTGCTTAATCCGACTGACATATATATTTACATACACTTTTGGATTTTTTGTCTTCCATTCATCCAAAAATGAATATTCCCATTTTGTTCAAGAGTTGTTGCATGATGAGATGGAGAAAAATCGAGACACGGTCGAAATCCAGAGTGCCAGTTTATGATCTCATTAGAAAAGGCATTCAATTTTTGGGCATAGACAAGCTTTTTTAAATTTATTTGAATCCATGTTCAAGTCTAAGCTGAACTTTTCTACTGTTTTACCAATTGGATAATGATAACGCACTTTTGTCGTGACTTTTTCATACCTTTTCTATCATTTTTGTTTTACAGAGAAACCAAGGTCATCTGGTTTTCTTGAGTGGAAGAATAACTGATCATGAACAAAACAAAAAATTTCTAGAACATAGAAAACATACCGCTAGAGCTATCAGAAAGAACCAATCGATTAAAATGATGTAACGAGTAGAGCTGCCACGTTCCCGTTCCTTTTCTCTTAAAAGAAACGAAACCCCGTTACCTATTACCAGTAATGGGTAATGGAAATCCGTTACCTGTTAGCGGTAACGGCAAATGAAAATCCGTTATCGGTAACGGGATCCAGGGAATACTTCAAATAATAATTGGATAGAATTATAAGGGAATGTAAAGAAGTCCGATAGACGTCGCTTGGTAGCGGTTGTCGTGTACAGAGGGAGCCATAACAAATACAAAATGGGCCGGTCGATAGAGGGCGTTACCCGTTACCGGAAAGTAACAGGTAACGATTTTCCGTTCCCATCACTGGTAATAGGTAACGGAGTTCCGTTGCCGTAACTGTAACGATAACGGGAAAGTGCCACTCCTAGAACGAGAAGAGCCTGCAGTAAGGCAAGGGGTGAATGCAAGAGGCTAACAAAGAGCAGATTCAGCGGCTCACTGAAGAAGGAATAGTACGTTTGGTCTCATGAACTTGCTTCAAATATTTTATTTAACTTCCCAGAAATACCTTCGTTTGAACATTTAAAGTGATTTTTCAGCGAAATTTTCCGGGATATGCGGTTTGGATTAGTAATAGGTAATATGGACTACGGGAGGGTTTTTTCGAGGAAAAGCGATGAAGTCATTTGTGAACAGGATCAAACGGTGCGTATTCAGTTCGTTTCGAAGCATTTTCGATGAATAATACCAACAATTTATTGGCCATTTGGCAATATTCTATTCAGCGCTTTGTCTTTCTCCCGTCATATCGACTTGCCGTAATTCTGAAATTTACCACTGAGAATTTGAAATCCAAACGTTTTTGTCAAACACATAATCCTTGTGAAAATGGTGGTATTTGTCATTCAGTATTAAACTTAGCTGACGATTATTATTGTTTTTGTAAAAGTAATTCATACGGTAAAAACTGTCAAATACAAGATAATTCATGCATGAAAAGCAATTATTGTTCGGCATACGCACTTTGTCGTCCACCAAAACCCACTTGTATCTGTCCTGTAAATCAGACAGGTTTGACATGTAATACGAATTATGCTTCGATCAATTCATCCAATATATGCCTCAACGGCGGTACGGTCGATTTGACTCAGGGTCTTCATTTATACAAATGTATTTGCAGTCAAAAGTTTTTCGGTGATCATTGTCAATATTCGTCGGGTACCATTAATATATTGTTTAATTCAACCATGTTACCTGCACGTATCCCAATTAACTCAGTTCTTCAGTTGTGCGATTTTGAATCGATTTCGTGGGACCTTGTTGTCAAACAACAAAAGCTTTTTCAAAATATTCCAACATCGGTTAAAATAGATCACAATGAAATTTATATACCATCCATTGGTATTATGAAATTTTATTTCGCAACAGATATCGAATATTATCTGCTGTATGTTCAACAAAAAGAAATTGAGCTTAATGCCACGATAGAGTTTAGTTCAGAAAGTCACTGTCAACATACTCGCGCGTTATTAACAGCTACCACGAATTTTAACTCAAGCACAAACGTGTTCCAGTATAACTTGTTATGTAGAAATTCAACTGGAACAATATGTTTTCATGATA